CACCTTAAAGTCCTTAACACGATTGATGTTTATGATTAGTGGATTTTTTCTTGTCCTGCTTTATTCGGTTATTACCCCTAATGATGGACGTTCGTGTATAAACAATATACATACATAATATATATATAGAAACTATTTGCAGATCGGTTCATTATATACTATAGTATAATATACGTTGTAAGTAAACGACTAGGAAAAGTCAACTTACTTATAGTAACTACCGATACCATAGAATTTGTTCGTATCGGTGACATTATTTTATAGCCATCCCTTGTATCGTCTTCAATCATCCAACTAGCCTTTTGCTGTTTTCTATGTTTCCCTTCCATAACTCAATTTCTTTAAATTCGTGTAACTATCCTTGTCTATGTCTATATCATAATTTATTTTTTGTACTCAACCAGTGGTCTGTTTCTTCCAATAGGACCTTCTATGGCGATTTTCAGTAAACTATCGTGACGTTATAGACGTCTTGTCATTTTGTTTCTTCTTACTCTAACATTGTTTCATTTTTATTTCCAAATTATTCATTTTTCCTACGTTTAGCACTTCCTGGTTTGATAATATTTCTATTCCATTAAATCTTAAGCATTTTTCAACAGTACTATATTTTAAACGCCTCTAAATTTTCTCTCCCTTGACAATAAATTTTTGAAGTTTGAAAACTATACATATTAGTGCCACACTCAACACACATTTTTAAGAACTTTTTCCTTATCTTATAAGTGAACAACTATAACATTTTTAATATTATTTGTCTAAGTATTGAGAATAAATTAAAATTGGGGTATAAATCTGTGATATTTAACAATGTGTTGCTGCATAGTTTTAATCATTTGAATTGATGTGTTCATTATGGTAATAAAATAAAATCTTTGTTTTTGATAAATAATCAAACAAACTTTGTTTCTTCTTGTGTTCGCATTAAAATTTCGTAACAACATGAAAAATAATAGAAAAACATTATATTTATTATACTTATTCACGTTCATATTTTTTTTTTTTTGTACTCTTGAAAATATAGGTATTTCTTCAAAGATTATATGATTAAATATACCCTATATGTATATAGATTATATAGATATATATTGCTTTCGTACATGGTTCAAAGAAAAATGAATGTATCAATGTGTATCAGTAGTATTAACGTTTTAAAGAAACATTTAATTTTATTGAGAGAAATTTCACAGTATTTGATTTTAGATAAAAAAAATCTGAACAAATCAATGTATAATATATTATATTGTTCTTTATTTTATATTATTATGTGTTTGAATTGAAATTGGGTCAATAATTTTCAATATATTGTTAAATTTCTAAAAATATATAAATTTGCCTTCTCTTAGAATAATAATATCAGTAATACTACACAGTAGAGATGGCTAAATGTTTGATCGTGATCGACCAGTAGATCACGGATGCGTATCTTCCTACGTCATCGACTCCTATTTTCCGACAAATAAACCGGTTTTATAAGGTATTAAAAATCTTCCGATTTCGCCGACACATAAATCGGTTATATTATCATTTTGAATTGAAATATTATTGTTGGATAATATAATTAGGTGGAGAATCATTATTTATAATGTTTTTTTTGAGGGTATTTTATCAGTTATAAAAGCGTAATAATAATAATAATAATTATGACTATTTCCTCAATATTCATTATGAACTCTAGATTGATTTGCACTCGTTCATCGTGCGTCGTTTCACATATTTTATTAAGCAATTCAAAACCAAATATGTATAATTTATACATACTAAAAACTAGTAAGACTATATTTATTTATTTTATGTATTGCAAAATACGCAATTGAAGAAGACATCGATGCAACAACAGTATGACACATGACATTTCGCTTTTTGAAAGTTCACTTTTTGTCGACATTATTTATAAGAAAAAATTCTCTATATCCGGGTATAAAAATCAGATAAATACAATGTATATATAATATACGAATTTTTATAGACAGTATTGAATTTAATAGACATTGGAGTTTAATTTAATTTTAGAATTTTTGTGTAACAATCAAATAAATCTAAAAAATTTTTTTTTTTTTTTTGTTCTTGAATGGCCTAAACAATTTAGTAATCTGATTGTTGCACTAAGGTTTATAAATTGAGACCCAAATGTGTTACACAAAATTTGGAAGCGACTATATAAGAATATAATTTTGTAGTACATAATTCAACGTCACCACCTTTATTCAGTTATGGTCATTTTTAAGCGTTTATATTAAATGTCAATTTAATTATTTTTACAGATTATACACGTTCATTTGGTCTTCTACGTACCAAACGTTTGATTTTAATGGCTCATTTGTGTAAACCGAAATTGAGCTAGTATATAAAAAAAACAACTAGATAATCGACTATATGAATAAACAGAGAACTTATATTTTCCTTTTCTAGACGTAGGCCAATTTTCAAAACATTTGAGCTATTTATAGATATTTTAATTTTGCGATTTTTTTTTCGTTATTTTTATTCTGTAGGTACTTTGTGGATAAAATTGTTAGACTGAAGAAAAATACTTAAAAATTTATTAGGAACCATTATGAGTTGTAATTAGTGGTCAGTAGGAAATAGTTGAGTTTAAAGTAGTATTTTTTTTATAAGAATTTTAATATTAAAAATAATAATTTGACGAAAATCGTAAAGATTACCGCTTTTAAAAACACGTGTAATCGAACTCCGTTCAGGAGTATAAAATATAGTAATACAACAATAAGTAATACACGCATAAGAAGTAGCTGAAATTAAAACAAATTAACAAATGATAAACAATATAAACGAATAAAAAGAAAAAAATACATGGTCTATAAAAAAGAGTAGGTGGAGTTCAAGTTAGCTAGTTGCATACATCGGTTGAGCGGTTGATTCTAACATAGTTAGAGTGAGACCTTGGGATGTGGAATGGGGCAGAGCAACGTTTATAATACTACCATTACATAATTCACGAACCAATCAATATAATTTGTCCTCTTTGTATAATGATAAATAATTTCATACCTCTAATAAAACTTTAACCTACAGTCACAGTTACACAGTTGTTTTATATCAATTATTATATTTATTAATATATTAATGCGAATAGAAAACGTTAATACCAACAGAAAGTTCTTATGTGCTCGCTGAACTCTCAAGTTATCAGCATATCTGACTGTTCGACGTACGCGTTTTTTAGTTTGGTTTTTTGAAATCATCATCGTTCTTGATACCGTACGGAAAGCCCCAGAAATGTGTTGAGTGTGTTTAAACTAGGTATAGTTAGGTATCTGTACGTTTTATGTGTATATTATTTGTGATATTATATATTATATTGGCGATGGATATCACGTTTGTGCACTAGACACAACCGACGCTATGGCCTAAAATTAATTGCGACACCACCGAACGCGTATAGGTATAAATATAATAATTTACCGGTGTGTTTATGTCGGGAGACAATAATATTATTATCCGATATGATCGGAATCCGGCAGAGTGCCAAAACACAATAATTAAACGCTCTATGCAGTAGGTACAAATATAATATTAGACATTCGTAAAATATTTTTAAAAAACCCAATATACTATTTAAAAATACGTTTATAATTATATTCATAAAGTAAACCATTATGATTTCGTGGTTAAAATATTGTTGCCGAGTTTAAAGAACAAATAACTGACTATCTCGGTTCAGAATATTAGAAACCGGTCTGTGAAATAAAAAAAGCCTTATCAAACACAGAGTTATCGAACTGATTTCAGTTCTGTAACCGGGAGCTGTTTATATAAAATATTACTTACAATTTAATTATAACTTTGTTATTACGTAAAAACGAATAACCACGGATAATTACTAAATAAATGATGACTAAATAATAAAATTATTTTATGATATATGTAATTAGTTCAATGACTGTTATTTTAAAAATTATCAAACCAACAATTTCCAGAAATGTTTTCATGCAAACCATTATAATATGTGTTTCGGAATTTGGTAAACAACCGTCAATTAAATCGTTCATTTGCATTTATTTATTTTTAATTTCATGTTTCTCTATGTTTCACGGGTGCCGAAAAAAAAATAACATCAAACTTTAGTTATTGTGTAATATATTATATAGGCATAATATCGACCGTGTTTTTATTTTTACAATCATTGTCGACTAAATTAAGAAAATATAATGGGCAAAGAAAATGAAGCGTGCTACTAGAAATGTATATAAGATAGACTCGAGTGAAGAGAATCCACTCGTGTTTTTTAAAAGGTTGAATAATTATATACCTCCCGACTATAACACGAGTACCAATAACACTGTGCAAAATCGTATGCACCACGGATGAGAATAGGGCTGAAAGCAAGCGTGTAAATGACAATAGACGCATGACTAATTAGAAAAATAACAATTATTTTATGCACTTATATAAGCCGTATTATTACATATAATACGTATGTAATGTATATATATACGTAATGTATATAACAAAATAAGAATATTATAATTATTTGGAAATAAAACATTTAAACTTACGCTCAATCAGATGACGACGATGTTTTAAATAAATACAAAAAACAAAAACGAGTTAATAGGTTATAGGATTCGGATATGTTTAAGAAATTTAATGTTTTAGGTTTTAGGTGCTGCGAAAAACGTATTAAATTTACTACGATCTGTGTTTTTTTTTCTGTCTGTAAACAACTTTTATTCTGGAAATCATGCTCCAATCAAATATTAAAAACTCCGTTTTTTGAATTTTTGATTTAGCCTACGTATTGAGTAGGTTTTTTTTGATTACCCCGATACTTTCCATCCTACAACACTGGCACCAACTCCAGCATCAGCTCGTTTTATGTTAATCTCCAGCAAACATTTTCAAATCAAAACTAATATCACAAAAAATATATCAGAGCAATTTGATAATAACTAGGTATGACTGATCAGTATTTATTATAAATACTCACTACATGGGCCACTATAAAGAGCGAAGAAGATAACCGAGAATATTTGAGAGGAAGATACTACGAAGAATTCATGGTCTAATATAAAATACTGCTGAAAAAAGATAAATAGGAAATAGGATCTAACTTTCATGGGCTGAGCACATATATGGCGAACAGATGATAAACTAATGATAAGGACGAAAGGTGAAGAGTTGAAAGAACGAGACAAAGTGGTAGTCTACACTGGAGATGAATAAATAGTGTCCGAGAACTTCTGATGGAACTTACTCAGTTTAAGAGGGTATAATATGATAGAAAACAGTTGTACGTCCAAAATTAATATCCGGGAAGAGGAGTTATGAATTTTAAACAAATTTCTGAAATAATATAATTACTAAATAATAGATGAAGTGCGTGAAAAATACGTGCCTATTCAAAATCACAACGATATTTCAGAAATTCTAGTACAAATTATGCAATTATCTCGTTTTTTAATAATATAATTTTAGTCACCGCAAATCCATTATTAATAACGATTACTTATATTATTTGGCGAGTCGTGGTATTTAATGATTTTTATTTAATTGTATAACGTATTTTTTTTTTTTTACTATTTTGCTAAATACCGAATAGACTACGTACAAACGGACGCGTAAACAGGCGAATCATACAGGCCGCATATAACTACAAAACCGTATGAGCGCGCTGCAGTATAATATATAACTTTAATAATATTATAATATAAGACGGTTAAATCGCCATCGTATTTTCTAAAGCCGTAGTAAAATAAAAGTTTACATCTTTTTGAATTAATTTTTATTCGTCTTAATCGTCGCAGAAATGTAAAACGAAAACCCGCGTATGGGGTTCGTAAAAAAAAAAACAATATTCTGATTAACGCGACTATTTCCTTCGGCCGGTAAAAGGCCATTATTTAATCCATTTTAAACTGCAGTATATTATCAGATATCTTTAACACCTATACTGTTATAATGCTAGCTGCACTTTGTGTTGTTGTAATTTTTTTTTCTTTACAATATTAGTAGTAGATAGTATATCTATATTATAAATTGGGTTAGCGCAAGTTCTCGAATGAGTCGACAGACTCGGCCGGTCTTCTTCGTGGGAATTAATAACTGTACTAGGTGTTTTTTTTTTTCGTGATCATTTATTTATATTATATTTTACATTTTTTTTTTGTCGTAATAAACAATAATTGTGTTAAAACACACACAACAATCTGTTGTCTAACAATTAAAGTCTTCATATATTAATATAGGTTTAAAAACCAAAAGAGAGTATAGTGGTTTATTCCCCGAAAATATCAGTGAACAAAATAAGTACAATGCAAACTTTTAGAATATATGATTCTAAAAAGTTTATACACAAGTAAAAAAAAAAAACCAATAAGAATTTCACGGAAAATTTAACTGTTCCATGAAATTCAGAAAATTTTGTATACGTATACTATTATGTAGATAAATACGTTATTATTTTGAATATCTCGATTTGTAATGCATTTTGTTAAGGTAAATTTCGTTTTATTGAAAGCTACGAATTCGTAAGTTTTCCGTGTCATGGTATTAGTTTTTGAAAATTTACACGATAAGTACCTAGCTATGACCTTACCTTATACTTAATTTAGCATTTTAATGAAAATCCCATTGCAGAACTACCGGATTTGGTTCGAATTTCCACAGAACGATGTCGTTATTAAAATATTATAAAATATAATATTACTCCTGTTACCAATATATAATATACTCGTAGTTTAATAACGATGCGTTTTTCTTTTCATCCACAGAAAATAATTTGAAAAAAGTAGGTATAATAAAATAAAAGTGATTTGTAAATTGCACGGTAGCGATTTATATATTTAATACGAACCGTACACATAATATAATATAGATACTGTTTACTTCAAAGAAAAAATCAATTTTTTTTCTTATACGTATACTCCGTTAAAACAATTATACAATAATATTATATGGTATAATTATGACTATTATAAGTCAGAGTTTCTCAGGTTATACTGGTTATAGGTTTGGTACTTGAAAAACTCATACATACAAATGGTGGGGTTGAAATCCTCAAAAGACTTGCTACCTCAAATGTGCACTTTTGCATGGAAATCTTTGACACTAACCCCGTGTATACACAAAATGTCATCTCCTTGGCAGCATTTGGTTTGTCTGCAAGGGTGTTTATAGCTAACAAAAATAACCTCCTCCAGTAACGACACAGTGTAGATTTTATTGAACTTTATATCAGTTTTTATCACTTTAATCCGCCTGTAAATAGACAATTCTAATTCCCGAGTTTGAGCTCTTTTGGTTCAGCGAGCCGCTATTAGTGACTAAAAGTACCTGGAACACAATATAATCCAATAGTTATATTTTCGGGGAAAATTCGATTAAAAACAGAAATAAATACAAAAACAATCCAATTTTACACGTTTTTCTGGTCTCACATAAAAACACGAAGGTAAAAATTTGTTTTCAAAATAATCAAATTTATAGTATGGGTATTTTATCTTTCTAACTTCCCATTTACGATAGTAGGCACACGTCAATAGTATCACCTTTTTTTTCTGGTCTATGTGTGTATAGATGTATATATGAATATAGAGTACTATTATAACATGTATACATATATACATGTATATTGTACATTTATGGTTATTTTGGAATGTTATTAAAAAAATTATAATTTACACGTATTTTTTTATACATACATTGACATTGTGATTCTAGTGCATAATAATTTATGCATTTTTTTATGATTTATTAATTATTTATAAACGCTTTATATACGTTTTTTTATTTATACTTTTCTTTTCATATTTATATATAAAAAAAAGCGAAACTTCAAAATCCCATGCATTTCACGTACACGAATATCTCTCCCCTTTCGTAAACTTTCGTATTTGTCATTTTTTTCCCTCCTAGAAATTCAGTATTGACGCAATGACTTTTGACGATTATAATAATTTACTTTTAAGGCGAACTTTCGTCGTTTTCGTCACTCATATAAAAAAATATGATTTCTATTGATAAATATAAAATAATGTAAGAAAAATGAACCACACCTTTTTTCTTAACCTGGAAATAAAAAAATAAAAATAACAACAAAAATACAAATCGCGATGTTTTATAAGTATATAATATACGTACTAGGAAAAGATTTTATTTTTAGCTTAAGTGAGTGTACATGATTTTGATTGTGTGACAGAGGACATCATAATATATTATTGTAATAAAACAAGTTTGTTTTGTTTTCTTCTCTCTTTTAAATCGCTACTTTATAAAAATAAAGTTTTTTTTTAGACGACTTATAAATTACAATAAACTTTATATAATGTAATACGTTCCTGGTATAGTTGGTATTTTGATTGAAAAGTTTTTCAGGCGATTAATTTAGTTTGTCCTAAGATTATTTTGGAAAGTCATAATTTTTAGTTTAATCTTTTAATACCACACATATTACTATAATATAATAACTAAATGATATTTGTACTAGACTCATAAGTATAGACGATAAAATTAATTTAATCTAAAGACCTTTCCCCCGATTAGTTTATTGAGTGAAGTTGCCCTTGCTACGTAATAATAGTTACTGCCGTTTAATTAATAATTATAAATTATTCACCCGAAAACGTATCGCATTCTTCTTTTAATGGCGGCATGATTACAGATTACTCTAATAGTTTTTGATGCCTTCGCGGGTACACTTCACTTCATTTTTTTTTTTGGTGGTCTTCCAAGAGGTCTTTTTCCTTAGGGTTTCCACTACATATCTATCTTAACCTTTTCCTCTTTACCTCTTATCAATATATAGCCTAACCATTGATTTCTAAATATCGCTTATTTTTGGTGCTAATTGTCATGTCGCACATCTTTCTATTTTATCATCTTCGTCAGTAGTCTTTTATTGTTGCATCAATGGTTGGTCTAAATAGTTTTCTACAGATTTTAATTTCTTTAAGTTTGTTTTAATCTGTTCGGTTGTTGTATAAGTCTCTCAGTCATACGTGATAACTGGTCTTACAATAACTATATACACACTTATTTTCATTTTCTAGATAATATTTGGACCTTAAGAATTTTATTAATGACGCTTTTTGGGATTTTAGACTTATTCGAATATCTACGCATTTTCTTTGCCCCATCATTTCTTACCTATTCTAAAACATATATTTCACAATAATTTCAAGCCGTTTAAAAATACTAATCACTAAAATGTAAATTGCATTTATTTTTGCCACTATTGCCAAACTATAACAAATAGACAAAATTTGGGTACGATTTTTGTTGGAAAAAATTAGAACAATAAGTATCTGACGATTAAAATAGTATAATGCCAATAAAAAAAGTGAGTCAAACCTTTTTTAATAATATTCTCGGAAATTTGTACGGTATCTAGCTATATAAGTGCTATGCAGTACTTCAAATAATTATTATGTACCCAACGTTTTATCTAGTCAGTCCTGGTGTTTTTTTCTTTTTGACATCTTTAGGAGATTAATGATAATAAACATATATTATTCTATAATTTTTCATATTCATAAAACTTCGCATCCAAATATTTTTTTTTGTGCCTTTTAATTTCTCTCCACCTTCACACGGCCTACTGAGGTGATATTCTTCTCCGGTCAGTTTTTTAGATTTTTTTTAATTTTACATCCACTGCTATCAACACTTGCACATATGTTGACTTCAAAAACAGACACCGAGACGAGATAGAAAATACAATAGTATATACGGTGTCTGTGTATTTAATATATTTTGTTATTAATAAGTGCACAAAATAAAGTTCTTGTCAGTTTATAATTAAAAACCTCAATGGTTTGATAATTTTTTTGACAAACATGTTTTCGATGTAAAGTATAACATTACTTACATAAGTTATATATTTTTAACTAATAGTCGTTATATACGTCGTGTTTCATTAGAAAAAGTAAAAATTCGTAACAACGATTCGGCATAGATGAAATGCCATTTTTCTTGATATTTTTAAAAAAAAAAGGCAATTTGGGTGACTAAAAAACATTTCAATTTACTTTCATATACATTTAACAAGTAATCTTGTACTTTTTTCGTAAGTATTTATTGTGTAATCATAAAATTAACAAAAATATTTATGAAAAAGACGTCCTAGGATAATGGAGATGGGTGCAGCCACTGTTATAGGTAATTGTAAATCTGTAAACAACGATAAACCATGGCTTACGAAAAAACGATTCTGAGCGGAGTTCAATTGATAGTGATGCTTTGTCAACAATATACATGCTATATTATAGTAAAATAATTAAATAGGCTTTATACATTTTCTTTAATAATATTTGTTTAATGTTGTACCGATTATCATAGTTTTCCCGGTTTTCGCATGTTTTTTCCCAGTTTTTCGCATTTGATGACAAAATTCTTGAAAAAGTCGAAAAATGACCTCTTTCAG